AGACTGCAGGCAAAGGGAATCCATTTTGGAATGAATCCTTGAAGAAAATGCTCTGTGCAATTATTATTATTATTATTATTATTATTATTATTATTATTATTATTATTATTATGGAACAGCAGATCAGAGAGAATGCTGTAAAACAGAACCTATCTGCTATGTCAGTTTGTTAGCTGGAAAGGATATTTCTCTCTGGGGAGCGTACCAAACTGTGAGCCCCCACTTGCAATCTGAAAGGGAACAGTCTACTCTACTGCCTCGGGACTCTACCCCTTTTCCCTGCAACATTGTAAAACCAGCATTAGATTTTCAGAAAGTCAGGAAGCTGAACTCCATGCCTGATGTCACCCATCTCCTCAAAGCTGAACTAGTGCCAATGACTTTGTAGGAATAACCAGGATCATCTGTGCGTTATAGGAAGATTCAAGCATTTTGCAGGCAGGACAGAGCCATTATATCCATAAGTATAAATTAAAGGTAAAGGTAAATGGACCCCTGACCATTAGGTCCAGTCGTGGACGACTCTGGGGTTGCGGCGCTCATCTCGCTTTATTGGCCGAGGGAGCCGGCATTTGTCCGTAGACAGTTTTTCTGGGTCACATGGCCAGCATGACTAAGCCGCTTCTGGCGAAACAAAGAAGCGCACAGAAACGCTGTTTACCTTCCCGCTGGAGTGGTACCTATTTATCTACTTGCACTTTGATGTGCTTTCGAACTGCTAGGTTGGCAGGAGCTGGGACCGAGCAACGGGAGCTCACCCCGTTGCGGGGATTTGGACCACCACAGCCCTACAAAAGGGGGCAACATCCCCGCTCCTGAACAGTAAAGGCAACAAGTGCATGCATGATCTCATGCACCAGGGAGGGGAAGGAGTAAGTGCATATACAGCCTATGAAGACAGTTCCCCAGGTCTTGTAGCAGAGGAGAAGAATCAACATGCATGCTAGGGACACAGTGAAAGATTTCGTTGCAGACTGCACTTGAACTGAGCTATTCCTGTGTAGTTTTATGGAACTGCAGCCCGCACGGAGCTCTGGCGGCTAAAGTCAATGTCAGGTCTCTAAAGAAACCTGCGCCTCTTTGAGGTCAGGAGCTGAATTCAGTTATCTTAGGCCATGGGTCAGCAAACTAAGGCCCGTGGGCCAGATCAGGCCCAATTGCCTTCTGGATCCAGCCTGTGGACAATCCTGGAATTGCCGCATGGATCGCCAGCACGCACGTTCTTTCCCTCTCCCTTACACAGCGGCGGCGGCAGCGGCGGCAGCGCCTCCTCCCTCCCTCCTCCTGGCTTCTCCCCGCCCTGCCTAGAGGAGGAAGGGGGCTGGGCTTTGATGGTGCCAGCAGCAGCAGCACTCAAGCGGCTGCCATTTTAAGCAGCCCTCTCCGCAGCCCTTTTGCACGCTGCTCATCGTCCCTCTGCCACCACCACCGCCAGCCCCTGCTGCTTGCAAGACACAGGTAAGCAGCCACTGGGGCTCGTGGTGCTGCAAGATGCCAAATTAATTGAAATCAGCAGCAGACAGCATGTGGCCCGCATGCAGAGTCCCCAAACTGTCTCCCTGCTTTATGTGGCCGTTGCGCAGCCACTCGCCCTCCATCAGGAGAGAGCTTCGCTCGAGAAAAGGGGAGTCCCGGAGCTGCTACTGGGAACTGTAGCTCCACCTCTTGGACATTGGGCTTGACCTCAACAGCAAAAGTTATTAGAAGGCGTTTGTCAATTTACATGCCATAGCGCATGCAGAAGTTGCAGGGTGGCTCCCCAGTACTGGCCACCACTGCCCCCTCCTGGCATTTTGTAGGAAGTGCCGAAATGGTTGCATTCGCTCACCCCATGTTAGCAAGGAAGGAGTTGCTGGGTCCTGTCGGGGATCGGGGCCTCTCAGGCTCATCGTACATCGGGGGAGGAATTGCTGCTTTGGATGATGATGAACCGCGAGGCCTGGGCTCTTCTTCATACGGGAACGACGACGATACAGCTGGAAGCGAAGTGGGACATTCAACAATAAGCCGAAAACCCACAAAAAAACATGCATTTCCATTATGGCTGGCATGCGTTTCCTGACTCGCTTGCACAGATAACTGAACAGCCTCCTAAGTTCCAGCTCCCACCTCTCCGTTATCTTGCCCGCTAAACACCTGATTTGGCGCAAATGTCATTCGAAGCTAGTAATGGCAAGCGAGAGGTCCAATCTAAAGGGGCTGTGGTGCCCTGAGAATCAGCACAAGAGAATAGACAAATTATTTAAAATAAATATACAACAGGGGGTGTGGACAATCCCCCATTCATCCATTTTTTCCCCTAAGGTAAAGGGACCCCTGACCATTAGGTCCAGTCATGACCGACTCTGGGGTTGCAGCACTCATCTCGCTTTACTGGCCAAGGGAGCCGGCGTACAGCTTCCGGGTCATGTGGCCAGCATGACTAAGCCGCTTTTGGTGAACCAGAGCAGCGCACGGAAACACAGTTTACCTTCCTGCCAGAGCAGTACCTAGTTATCTACTTGCACTTCTGACGTGCTTTTGAACTGCTAGGTTGGCAGGAGCAGGGACCGAGCAATGGGAGCTCACCCCGTCATGGGGATTCGAATCGCCGACCTTCTGATCGGCAAGTCCTAGGCTCTGTGGTTTAACCCACAGCGCCACCCGCGTCCTACCCACCATAAGTAATGTGCCACCTAATGGATGAGTGCAGAATTTCTCAAGATTAAAAAGAAAACCACAATGCAACCTTGAACATCGACTTGTTTCTGCACAACTCAGCTCGACGGCTACATTTAATGAGCTGCTTCATTTCCCCAACCATCACACCTGCACACACCCCTTTGCAGCTCACTTCCAGATAACTGGACCCGGAGGAGTCAGAAACAGAAGATGCTCCCTTTGCTTTCCAAGAATCTCAGGAAGCTGCCATGGGTAAATTCAGAGTCCCAGGGCTTTGCCACCTAGCAAGCCTAATGCCAATGCCTGCTGGTATACCCCACGTTCCTTAGGAGAGCTAGCCCCTCACTGGCTTGTTCATGCTCACTTTCTTGTGTACCTTGTGCGAGACCCATGGTGCATTTCCCAACAATGTACCACCGCTCTTGCTATTACAACAGGGATGAATGGCTTAAGCAAAGCTCTGTCCCACCCATTCTGAGAAATGGAAGCAAAACAGAAGAGGGGCTCATCTGATTTACAGATCATCCAGTTGTTCCCTCCTCTGACCTAGACCACAACAGACGCCGTGAACATGGCTGTGAAGAATGCAACCACCCAAGTCTAACACAATGTGCAAAGTGGAAACAGCTGGGGTTCAACTGCTAGGGTAGCCACTGGCTACCCTAGGTGTAGTTTTTTTTTAAAGCCCGGTCAGCTCACACAAGCCACAGTGCAGTCTGCTGCCAGCAGTGAGGAAGCGCCGCACTGAGTAACGTTTTCAATGACATTCATGCACACTTGCCAGGTTTAGCACGGGAATCTTCAGGCTGACTTTGGAGTCATTTGGAGGCTTGAGTCATTTGGAAGCTTCGATTGAGTTTCCACTGAAATGAGGCTGCATTTTAATGTTTTACTGTTGTATTTTAATCTTGTTTTTAAAGCTGTATTTCAATCGTTTTTATATTTGGTGTTAGCCGCCCTGAGCCCGGTCTTGGCTGGGGAGGGCGGGGTATAAATAAAAATTTTTATTATTATTATTATTATTATTATTACTACTACTACTACTACTATCCGGGATGTGTGTGTGTTATCAAGAAGATCAATAATGGCAGACATGGTGCCACCTCAAAAAGCATTTGCTCACCCTTTCACTCTTCTACTGCCACAGCAGACTAGTCACTAGAGCCTAGTTCTTACAGACAGCAGCTATGGTAAACTGTCTCAACTGTACCTTTTTGGACTATGAGGTGGTGTGGAAGGAAGCTGTCGTAAAATGAATGTTCTCCCTCCAACTCCAAAAAAGAGATTCCTACACACACAAAAACCTAACATGTCATAGGGAAGATATCTTTCTAGCCTAGCGTTCCTCCTGACGTGCTAGCATTCTGTGCGCGGGGATTATTTTCATTTTGGCAGGGACAATTCATTCACGTAAACACCCTTTCCAAACAGCCCAAAAGGCTACAACTCACACACAGGCTTGCAGCCTGTGAAGAATAAATTTCAGTTTGCACAAGGTGATGGAGAGGCCCAAGAGGTCCAGGGCCCTGCAGAAACCAAGTGAGCATCATCTGCAGTGCCCGGGGTTTTGTGGCAGACATCCACAGCAGCCAGGTGTCCCTGGAAAGCATCCGCTGAAGGCAAGACATTTTTGAAAGCCATGGCATTAGAAACTTCAAAAAAAATAATAATAATTTAAACATACGTTCTTTGTCCCTCTCAACCAAAGAAGTAGGTGGTGCGATGGCAGCTCCTCCCATACCTGTGAAAGGAAACAATTGCATGAAAAAGAATGCAGGAATCTGCATGACTTAATAGGTGTCACAAGAATCAGAGGCTCTTCCTTGGTTTTGCTGCAATGGACTCAACGTAACTGTCTTTCTGGAAGTTCAACAGGCTAGGTGTGTGTGCTGATGGGATAAAGAGATATTACACCGCATATGCATAACTTGATCCACTCCCCCTCTTTCCTTTCTCCTTTTGTGATGGAACTCTTATTTGGGGACTTCCCTAGCTTTTTTCTGGCCCACGTAGGACCAGTCTGCATAGTTGGCCTTGGTGAAGATTTGACGGTTACATCCCCAAAAGGTTTTTGATTTGAGTTTCTACTGAAAATTTCGTTGTCCCCGAGAGGGGGCAATGACAATAAAGATATTATTATTATTATTATTATTATTATTATTATTATTATTATTATTAAGAAATGAGGCTGCATTTTAATGTTGTACTTTAATCTTGTTTTTAAGTTGTATTTTAATCAATTGTTTATATACCTGGTGTTAGTCGCCCTGAGCCCGGTCTTGGCTGGGGAGGGCGGGGTATAATTTTCTTTTAATTCTTCTTCTTATTATTATTATTAGTTCAATGCACTCAACTTCAGTGATAAAAGCATCAATGCCTAGGGAGGCACCTGGAGCCAGAAAGCATCCCCAAAGCTCAGCATGTCCTGGACTACATCCCAACACTGAGTTGTCTTGGTAAGCCCCAGGCTACAATCAACCAAAAGAATGAAAACTTTGATGATACATTGCCACTGATATGAAGGGGTTGGGGTATCAGAGAGGTGTGCAGCTGTTCTATCACTTTGCCGCTGGTTTCTGCCACTCCTGGCTCCTAAAAGTTATAAGCCCAGGGTCTTTGAAAATATGGCTCCACCAGGTGCCCCTTTCCTCAAAATGTGTGTGAGAAAAACACAGAGCCCCCTTTTAGAGGCTTCAGACCCCAAGGTCTGGCACAGCTTGTTCCATGCCAGAAATAAGACACCTGGCAAGAAACCGCCAGGGTGATTTTGCTCGGTTAATTGGGGCACAATAAAGGCCTCCTTATACTCTGCGACCAGTCACCTGTCCTGTGCATCTGCCAATACCGATCCCAGTGGAAACGGGTTCTTGCACAACAGCAAAAGAAGAGAGCATAATGGGAGGAAGAGAGCCAGAGGTTTGGTGAGATTAACATGGCTCAAAGTCAGCCAGGGAATTAAAAGTGCAGCTCAGAGAGATGACACGATGCCGAGAAGCACAAGAGAGCATATTTCTTCAAGCAATAAAGCCCTCTACAATTGGGAACTGTGTTCTGCAAGATCTCCATTACAAAGTTACCGTATTTTTCGCTCTATTGGACACACCGGACCACAGGACGCACCTAGTTTTTAGAGGGGGAAATCAAGGAAAAAAATATTATTCCCCCCCCCAGCCCCAAAGAGCAACGGACAGGCTGCACGCAGCCTGTCCACTTCTCCCAGACCTTCTCGGGGCTGCGGGGGAAGCCCGGGTTCCCCCCCCAGCCCCAAAGAGCAAAGAAGCCAAGACAGCGCGCGGGGTCCATAGCCGCGCAACCTCTCCAGCCAGGAGCTAAACCTCTCCAGTGCAGCTAAAGAAGACAAGGCAGCAAGCGCGATCCATCCCGCTCGCTGCCTTGGCTTCTTCTTTAGCCTTGCGCAGCATCTTTAGTCTTGCGCAACGGGATGGATTGTGCATGCTGTCCACCGGGGCTGGACTAGATGACTCCTGGGGTTCCCTTCCAACCCTGCAATTCTATGACCTCGGAAGGTGTTTGGGGTCTCCACCACTGGAGGCTTTTAAGCAGCGGTTGGGGGACCATCTGCCTGGCGTTCTTTAGCTGTGATTCCTACATTGTGAGGGGGCTGGGCTAGATGACCCTCGGGTGGCCCTCCCAACTCTATACAGTCCTACAGTTCTGCGGCAGGAGATCCACAGCCACTTCACACAATGCCCACTCCCAATTTTCATTGGAGAGACATGTGGCTTCACTGTCTAGGTAGGTACCCCCCTACCTGCCACACTTCCCCCACCCCACTTAAGCTGGGGGGGAATCCGCTGAAGCCTCCAGCAGCGGAGGATCCATGGTCCCCTTCCTTCCCTCCTCCGTAGTTGCTTTGGAGGAGGAAAGTGGGAGAGGAGCTGCTTACACGAGTGTAAGCTGCCCCCCTCCCACTTTCCTGCTTCAAAGCAATCACGGAGGGGGGAATCTGCTGAAGCTTCCAGCAGCGGAGGATCCATGGTCCTCTTCCTTCCCTCCTCCGTAGTTGCTTTGAAGGAGGAAAGTGGGAGAGGAGCTGCTTACACGAGTGTAAGCTGCCCCCCTCCCACTTTCCTGCTTCAAAGCAATCACGGAGGGGGGAATCTGCTGAAGCCTCCAGCAGCGGAGGATCCATGGTCCTCTTCCTTCCCTCCTCCGTAGTTGCTTTGAAGGAGGAAAGTGGGAGAGGAGCTGCTTACACGAGTGTAAGCTGCCCCCTCCCACTTTCCTGCTTCAAAGCAATCACGGAGGGGGGAATCTGCTGAAGCCTCCAGCAGCGGAGGATCCATGGTCCTCTTCCTTCCCTCCTCCGTAGTTGCTTTGAAGGAGGAAAGTGGGAGAGGAGCTGCTTACACGAGTGTAAGCTGCCTCCCTCCCACTTTCCTGCTTCAAAGCAATCACGGAGGGGGGAATCTGCTGAAGCCTCCAGCAGCGGAGGATCCATGATCCTCTTACTTCCCTCCTCCGTAGTTGCTTTGAAGGAGGAAAGTGGGAGAGGAGCTGCTTACACGAGTGTAAGCTGCTCCCCTCCCACATTGCCGCCTCAAAGGGAACCCGGGAGGAGGGAATCTGCTGCAGCTTCCCCCACCTCCCGCAGAAGCCGCACGCTCTTTAAAGGGGCGGTGCGGCTTCTCCTGGGTTTTCTGGGAGGTGGGCGGATTCCCCCACCTCGTAGAAAAGCCTGCAGGAGCCGCACAGCCTTTAAAGAGGGCGCCGCTCTTGGGGGCTTTTCCCCCAGGAGGGAGAAGGGACTGCTACAGCCAGTCAGTCCCTTCTCCCTCCTGGAGAAAAGCCCGCAAGAGCGCACGAAGCTTGTGTGCGGCTCTTGAGGGCTTTTCCCGCCTGCCTCCCCCCTGCATTCGCTCCATAGGACGCACACACATTTTCCCTTGCTTTTTAGGAGGGAAAAAGTGCGTCCTATGGTGCGAAAAATACGGTATTCATTTCCAGTTCCCAAAAGGAAGGAAGCCCAACTAAAGCTGGCAACTTAAAATTATTACTATTTATTGAATTTATATACCGCCCTATACCCAGAGTTGCGCAGTAAATTTGAAGAAAACTTCAATAGTTGGAAATGTCTAGGTGGTCCCCTATTTCCCACTTCTCCATTGCTGCCTCTTCAATGTCGGCGATAATTTAAATGGCACGCTCAGAAATCCAGGATTGCTTTAAACCCCGCAACCAGTCTCACTGCCATTTCCTTTTTACAGATTCAGAAACGAGGCTACATGGAAGACTTCCCCAAGCCATGACCTTCAAAGTCATCACCAAATCTATGGAACGTCCTGTCGTTTAAGCACTGGGACGCTGCAAAGGATTTTTACTTGCTATACAAAATAGAGATAAATCAGCAGCCACAATTGATGCAGAAAAGCAGCTCCAGCTTTTGATAGACCCTGAACTTTCTGTTCTCAGCAAGTCCTTAAGCACTAACCAGCTCCTTGCTTGGCACCACTGCGTACCCTCTCTTGCACTCACTCATGAGCAGACTTAACCAGGTGGCAGCAGCAGTTTGCTACAGTGCTGCCAACAAAAAAAGTCTGCTCTCAAGAGCTGCAGGGAGCTCTTTGTGCCCACCAGAGAACTTATCTAGGGGCATCCCCCTAATGGCTTGCTGCCCCTGGGTAGGCTGGTTCAAAGGTGATCACACATGACAAGGAAGCTGGCAGCCCCAAGAGGACCCCAGAAGATGCCACAACCTGATGGGCACCGACACTGGTCTCCAGGCAAGGGGAAGAACCCATCACATCTAACTGAGATTACAGTGTCCAACCAAGGCCGTACTCCGCGACTAAGATTTCCTTACTTCTTTTCCGCCTCTCTCTTTCGTAATCTTCATCTTCGTCAGAATCTGGATCCGGCCGCCTTGAAAATCCACTCGCCTCATGCCTGTCTTTACGCCTCCTTGAAATTAAAACAGAAATTAAGATGACAATCCTCAGGTGCAGGGAACCCACAGAGCACACTTCGCAATGCAGGGTGTGTGTTGCCTACAACAATTACGAAATACAAATGTTTACAGATGCATTTTGGAGGTACTATCTGTATTTCTTTTGCTGCAAGGGTTGGCATAGTTCCTACGGAATCCATCACTAGCAGTTTTATTAGAGTAATTCCTTTCTATCCAAAGTCTGGGCAAAAACTGATTTTTGCCCTAAAGGAGCACACTAATTAATGATGGCAAACTGCGGGAGGCAGTGGAAGACAGGAGGGCCTGGCGTGCTCCAGTCCGTGTGGTCACAAAGAGTCGGACACGACTAAACAACAACAACAACAAATTAATGATGGGGTACTTCTTTCTGTCCAAGTGCTTATGATTTGAAGCAGCTCCTCGGCAAGTTCAGATACCATTCACACAGAAATGAATCAATTCTGGTTTACTGTACATTGATCTCAAATGCCAAGGAAAATTATTCTGAAAGGTGAAAACTTGGATGCACTGATATCCAACTTCCTCATACAAATAGGACCTGAGAGCCTATGATATCCTGTAGTGAAAGTGGCCAAACAAGTGAATTAACTGTATCACAGATTTAATTAAGGATTTACAAGATGAAAAATATTATCAGCTGACTGGATGTCTTACAAAATTATTCAGCTCGTAAAGACTTTAACACCATCAAAATGGCTAAGACAACCATGTAGGTGGATGGTTATGGCCCAGATGACTTACTTCTCCCTTTCTTCAATCTCTTTCTGCCTCTCCAGCTCACGCTGCCTTTGCCGTTCTTCCCGCTGGCGTTTTACTACTTTCTCGTAATCGTTGGGAAACATGGGGTCATACTCATCAGCCAAAGGAATCAAGACATCTCCTGCGGAAAAGCCACTGGGGACGGGGTCCTGGGGTTGAAAGGGGGAGAAGCGCTGATGAAAGCTAGCCAACGAAATTGCAACAGGCAAGAGGCCTCCCCGAGTGCCGCCGATTTCACTTTCAAAGTATTTCCCAAAGATTTCCTCTCGAAACCCAACATACAGAAAAACAACCTCCCCCAAAACCAATGTCAACAGCTGCCCTTTTGCTGATCTGCAATCGGGATGAGGCCAAGATCTGCATTCCACTTACGGCGCCCAGAGTAGCTGGGGTTGGACCTGGATGCACCAAGTCTGCACGAAAACTGTCTGCTCGACCCTTTCCAAAGCAGTAATCCTGTCTGATAAAAGCACCCATCGCCCTTTGGGTCCTATTGCCCGTATTGTATTTACCGTATTTTTCGCTCTATAAGACGCACGTTTCTCCTCCTAAAAAGGAAGGGGAAATGTGTGTGCGTCTTATGGAGCAAATGCAGGCTCCATGGCTGCAGCGAAAGCAAAACGAAGCCTCCGCTGCGCTCCAGAGGCTTCAGGCGGCTATCCCTGAAGCCAGGAGAGCAAGAGGGATCGGTGCGCACCAATCCCTCTTGCTCTCCTGGCTTCGCTTTGCTGGAGAGGCGCTGCGCAGAGAGAGAGAGAATATTTTTTTTCTTGTTCTCCTCCTCTAAAACTAGGTGCGTCTTATAGAGCGAAAAATACGGTATTTTTTAAAAAAGATATTTATTGAAAGTTTAATAGTTACAAAAAGAAGAAGAAAAAAACAGTAAAAAGTTCACAATACATCAAAAATAAGGAGAGAGAAAAAACAATACAACAAAACAACAAGAAAAACAAAAACATTCAAAAAACACATCAAATATCTCTATATCTCTACCTTACATTTACTTGTATCATCGACCTCCTCACACCTCCCTTTTTTGTATTCTTGTTCAGTTGCTATTTCAGCAAATCCTTTCCATCTTTCTCAATTTTTGTTCTATAATTTATCTTAACACAATCTGACCTTAAATTTTACACTTTGGCCCATTAACAATCTATTTTTACTTAATTCTTTATAACATTTCTGCTAAAACCATGTAACTTCATTCGAAAAATACGGTATTTTGCCCACCCAAACTGCGCTGCTTTTTCAGGTTGCTTCTGGTTTCATTTCATGGTGCTTGCTCTTGTCTGTAAGCAGTGAAAGGACCAGGCAAACACTCCTTCAAGAGCATCCACTCCCTTATGAACCTCAACCTATCTCCATCAAGAACATCAGAAGAGCACTGCCAGAACAAGCCAAAGGCCCTCTAGCCCAACATCCTGTTTTCATAGTGGACAACCAATGTCCATAGGAATTCTGCAACTGGGACCTGAGCACAACAGCGCCCTCCCACTTGCGCTCCCCAGCGGCAGAGGAGATCTCTGCAAGAGTACCCAAGCATTATGCCTTTGGGAGAATAATATGGCAGCTACTTAGAAACAGTGCTACTCAGAGATGGTACGAAGGCTGTGAAACACTTTCCTTGGAACCTCATCAGGCAACACACACCGTTAGGCAATTTGTCAAAGGCCCCCTTTGTACGCATCTGGGGACCTAGCTTAAAATTTACACTGTTGACTGGAACACCCTCTGTTGCAGCTCTCTGCAAGCCACTGTTCCTGCTAACATTCATTCCCCCCCCCCCCAACTCTGTTAATGCAACTTTATTGGTTGATCCTCCCTTAGTTACTGTTGTTGAGTGTTTTGCACAAATTGGGACAAACCAATCATCTACAGCCTTTCTCAACCTTGGGTCCCCAGATGTTTTTGGCCTACAACTCCCATCATCCCTGACCACTGGTCCTGTGAGCTAGGGATCATGGGAGTTGTAGGCCAAAAACATCTGGGGACCCAAGGTTGAAAACCACTGAATGTATTCAGATAAGGTACCCCTGCCCGTACGGGCCAGTCTTGCCAGACTCTAGGGTTGTGCGCCCATCTCACTTAAGAGGCCGGGGGCCAGCGCTGTCCGAGGACACTTCCGGATCACGTGGCCAGCGTGACAAGCTGCATCTGGCGAGCCAGCGCAGCACACGGAAACGCCGTTTACCTTCCCGCTAGTAAGCGGTCGCTATTTATCTACTTGCACCCGAAGGTGCTTTCGAACTGCTAGGTTGGCAGGCGCTGGGACCGAGCAACGGGAGCGCACCCCGCCGCGGGGATTCGAACCGCCGACCTTTTGATCGGCAAGCCCTAGGCGCTGAGGCTTTTACCCACAGCGTCACCCGCGTCCCATGTATTCAGATAACACGACGTTATTATTATAATCAGCATTATTATTACTGTACTTATTATTTATACTTACTAGTCACTTGTTACCTAAAAGGTCTTCGAGCGACTTAAGATTTAAAAACATTAAGGCATTATCACATTAACATGCTTGCAAAAGCGTGACAGAACTAGTCTCATAAAAGGTCATTTAAAGATCCCTGTCACTTAACACCTTTATTGCACGGATCAATTTTAGAAACGCATCATGATGAAAGTGCCTTACAGTTTCCTGGCTGGCCATTTTCTGCATTTAGGATTCCACTATATGAGCCCCCGCCCCAAAAAGACCAGTTTGCATCGGAGCAGCTCCAGTCTTACCTTCAGGCCAGCTGCCACGTGAGGAGGGGTGTCTACAATTTGTCGCTCATCAGATGCACTGCCTCGCTTCAGGTCAATCACGGGAGCAAGGACTGTGCTTTGCTTTGTTCGCTGACTCTAAAGTAAGAACACCACAAGCAGACACTTCACTCAGCACCAGAAATGTTGCTGTTCTACAAAATGTCCCGTGTTCCTTTCCACCCTAGATCATTAAGCAATTTGTTTGCGGGGCGGGGTTGGGGAAGGCTTGTCACACCCCCAAAAATTGGAAAATAATAAAAAAAAGAATACTGCTCTCAAAAACCATTATAAAAGCTGTAATTAAGAAAAACTACTGGAATTCTGGGGAAATATTGCTAGTCAGACTTTCTAATGATCTTGACTGTTATTTTTGCCCCCTGAAACTCTCTCTCCCCCCCCCTTCATTTGCTTCTATTATCCAAAAGGGAATAATAGGTGGATGGGAAAATGCTCAGAACATGTCCTCAGGTTTTAGCAGAATCAGAATTCTGGGAGATGCCCTTGTCCTATTCAAGCCTGATTTTCAAATACAGGAAACAAGATGAAGGTGATGTAACATTGCAAATTACAGTAATTTGGTCTCCCTCAAGGTATTAGGATTATAATGCACATGATTCATTCAACAGCCCCCGGAGACTGAATGATGATGCAAGCTATCAATTTCAGATGAAGATGCTGAGAAGCGCAATCGAACCTTTCCAGTTTACTTAAGGCAGAACACTCTAGGGTCAGCATCTAAAAACCCAAGAGCTTGAATTCCTGTTTTCAATTATCATTTCTGGGCTCCAATTCAGTGGCTAGCTAATTTTTACATTATTCAATAAGCTACGCACTTCAAAAGCACTTTGAAGTAGCTTTTAATTTTCGTCAAGGTT